TGGGTTATTAACAAGCTCGTGCAGCTATTTTGTAGTACAGCTTAAATTTGAGTTTAGGTATTCTGCCTCTAGAACCCAGGGTTGTATATCAGGCTGTCTTGTGTAGTGTTTATGTACTCCTGATGCTTTATTTGTGTTGTTTTGAGATGGCCCCTCTTCCTTGCCTTTCTGCCCAAAGTAAAACTAAAGAAAACTGATTTTCATGAAAAACTTGCTGAAACTTTGGTGTCCCAAACTATGATACATATTACATTTTAGGAATATGCAAACCTTCTAGATATACATAAAAATTTCTTGATCTATTGTTTCTTACACTAGAAAAGAATATCATTTTTTATATATCTCTCTCTCTGAAAAAATGTGTATGTGTATATGTTCTTTGTATGGGAGACTGGCTTAAATATATTTTGTCATTAAACTTACCACCCCAGTTTTCTTTTGGTTCAAGTTTGCCCGGTTATATCTTTTACTATCCCTTTTTTGTAAATTTTTCTGAATCCTTTTGTTTAATGTATCTCTTTGTAAATGACTCATTACTGGATTTTGTTTCTTACCCAACCTGAGAATCTTTTCTGGCATTTTGATTCTACATCACAGTGGGTGAAATTTCTTTAGTTTTCTTTTTAGTTACTAATTGTTTAGATTATAATAATTACGTTCTAAGTCAACCTTACTTGCTTTATCTGGTCCTGAATTTATTTCTCTTCTTATTGCATTGCATTCCTCAGAACTTCTTTCAAATAATGTCTTTCTGTGGTGAATTTCCTGCGACCCTGTATGCTGAGAATTTATTTTTCCTTCTCTTTAAAAATTTATTAGCTATATATAAATTCTAGGTTCACAGTCCTTTTCCTTTAATACTTTATCTTGGAAGTTCATACTACATATCTTATACTCTAGCATTAATGTTGAGAAGTTTGATGTCAGTGTTATTCTTCCTGTATGGAGGGGTATGCTTGTTCATTCTGGAAGCTTTTAGCCTTTGCTCTTGATCTGTAACACTCTTAATAATCCTTATATTATGCTTTGCTGTGGATTTTCACTTAACCTGTTCACTGCTCTGTGTACCCTTTCAGTCTAAGATTTGAATAATTCTGTATCTGGGAATTTTTTGTTATTATTTCTTCAGATATTTATTCTCTTTTGTCTTTGTTTTCCTTCTAGGGTTCCCATTATTAGATGTTCACACTTCTATTCCTCTCCTTAACTTCATCTCTTGTTTGTTCTGTCTTTTCATCCCTTTCCTATGCCTTCTGGGAGAGTTCCACCCAGTGTTCCAGCTCACCAATTTATTCTCAGTCTGTAGCTATTGTGCTTTCAATTCAGGCTCTGACTTCTTTATTTCAAACTACTGTATTTTTAATACCTGCTATCTCATATTGATTCCTCTTCATAACTGGGGTTTTTTTTTGTATTAAATTTCTAAAAATCTTTTATCTTTAAAGATGTTATGCTTATAGTATGTTCTTCCTCAATCTGTTTTTTTTCCTCTGGATGAGGTTGCTCCATTTGTTGTTTTTTATTCCTGTGCTTATTCACCTCAGAGGTCTTCCTATGGACTTCTCTTTTATTTATTTGCAACATTCAGCTGCCTTGGCTAGTAACTTTAATCTAAGGAGAGAGGTAAAAGTCTAGGATCTGGCTTGTGCTTCCCTAGGACAATTTAAAAACTATAGTGCAAAGCCTCTAGTATTGGACTCTGGCCTGAATCAACCACGTTTTCCACTGTGTCCTCATACTCCACACACCACACACGTATACACAACCCCCAGTACTACCCTCCCAAACAACCACTTGCTGTTGGAGTTGCCTTGCTCTTTGTGTGGGCTGGAGAGAGAGTGGGCCTGGGGAGGACCACTCAGAGACCTGAACTGGTTACTACTGATTCTCCATCCCACCTTGTCTTCACGTTTAGATGTCAGACCCTTATTAGTTGAATACACTCTGATGCAGGCACTATATTGGGTGTTGGGATATAAAAATTTTAAAGATATAATCCATGTTCTCAAGGAATTTTCATTTTAGTGGGGTCATTGGGAAAGTAATTAGGTATTTATAATACAGCATGATAAATTATGTGATGAGAACACATGGGAAGAGTTGATTAGTTCATTTGTGAGGAAGGGAGGAGGTTTCCTTCCCCGTATGGGTTGAGTCCTGAAGGATGTTTTGTTTTTGTTGTGTTTTGATTTTGTTTGTAAGCTAGGTGAGGAAAGACTAGAGGAGGCTGAAAGATTGTGTAGCAAGACAAAGGAGCATTTCAGGTAGAGAGCGAGTGGTTCAGTAGTGAGGGAAGCCAGGTTAATTTCTTATGGCTATTGCTGTCACATTTTTGCCACTGTAGCTTTGGCAAGATAACAGGGAATGAATAAAATGGAGTGTAGTAGGATATTGTGTATTTTGAAAAGGAAATGACATGATCAGGTGTATATTGTAGGAAGATCTTGCTGTATTATAGAGAATGAGTTAACATGGGGCAAGGCAAGAGCCATTGGGACCCATTAGGAGGCTTTGTAGTAGCCTGGGAGAGAAAAGATGATGACCTAAAGTAGTAGCATGAAGGCAGAAAGAAGTGGCTAATTCTAAATGATAATTACGGATGTTGGGTCCCAAGACTCTGTGGTTGAATACATTTGTTTACATTTGGTGGTGGAGGAAAGGGCCTGTGTCAAGGGTGATGTCTAGTTTTCTTTCCTGCATACCGTTCAAAATGCCTATTTCCTAAATATCATTTAATTTAAAGAATCACTTGAAAATATAACAAAGCAATAGTCCAACCAGCCTATTTTTTTTAAAGAACAGATTGTTATCCTTGATTCCAAAATACAAATAGCTGAAAAAACTGGGGGATTTTCCCTAAGTTTGTGGCAAACTCAATTGATAGCAAAACTAACCCTGAAATGAGGTTATTCATAGTCTTTGTTTATTCCATTTTGTGTGGACATTCATGTTGCTTTCAGAATTATTGTTGTGTGTAATGATGAGATGCTGCTTCAAACCTTGCTGCCAATGTTACATGACATACAGCATAGTATATGTCTTATTACCTTTCTAAAATCCAAACTATTCCGATGAAGCATGTCTAATTCTAGTGGTCTCAAATTATGGACTTGTACTTTGAATCTGAGCATTTTTGTTCTTTTATATTGCAGTATTATTTTCTAATAAGAATCATTATGTGACAGTGTAGCCATGGAGGGGGAAAAGATGTAGATTCATATTATATAGTGCAAACTTTGAGTTAGATTGCCAAAAGAAGGGACAAAACAGTGAATGTAGTATGCTTCTGTTTGGGTTTAAAAAAAAAAAAAAACAGGAGAAAGATGCGCATGCACACATACCCACACACACACAGAGTATCTTTAGAAGGACAAACAAAGATCTAATATCTGGTTGAGAACAGGGAGTCAGGGATGGGAGGAAAACTCAATTGTACTGTAATGCACACACACATGCATTGCACTGTCTGATGTTTCACTATATGCATTTTTTTTGTTTAAATTTTAAATTACATGGTGACTATATGAGAAGGTCCTTGTGAAAACTTAAAGATTTATTTGACTTCTAGCTCCAGGAAATGCATTAAATTTGTAGTAAATTAAAAATTATTTATGTACCCATTAGCCTTTCTGATTCCTTGTTACAATTTATTCCTGTTGTTTGTCATTAAGACTGCATCCAGAGAATGAGTTTCACAAATCCTTAAATTTTCAAGTGTTGAATATATATAGTATTGCTAAGATTGCTAGAGCAGAAAGTAGAGAAGAGAATGGCTAAAGATGAGTGCTGATCAGTAGATGTTGGAATTTATTCCCAGTATGCCAGACTGGGCAGTGAGAGCAAAAGTTGGAAATGTGGTTTTCAGGCAGCACATCTGAGGGGGAGAATGATAGGGAGATTTGGAAAGATTGTGTAGCAAGACAAAGGAAACAGAAGTATATTTTTGGCAGTGAAAATTGGAGACAGAAATAGAAGAAAAGTGAACTTGGGGCTCCTTTAGAGAAAGAAAGAGGTGTGAGGGAAAGATTAAATATCATGAATGCAATACTGTTCTTTGATGTTTCATAATTATTCTCTGCAATGTGGTAGAAGTATACTTTCATGTTAAAAATACAAGGCTTGGTATTTATGATGAAATTAAAATACTACTTGGCTTGAGTGAGGAAATTTTAAGTCCATTTGTCACTACTAAATTAATAAGAACCAAAATTAGGGGAAAAATAAACTATTTGCCACATTTTGCCAAATGTATATTTAAATTATCTTTGCTACTGACATGGTTATTTGTATTTTTAGTTCCATCAGCCATCTTTTTTTACAGTGAAAAGCAAGAATTAAGTACTTAAAATATATCATGATATTTGATGTTTGTGTCTTCATTGGAGATATTTTGTTTTTTAATACTACAACAATCTTAGGTCCTGATTTATAGTGTGCACTAAGTTAATAAAATTAATGTCAAGGAAAAATTTGTTAAGATGTAGTTACTTAGATATATAGTCACAAAGATATTCTTTATGTATATATTTTTTATATAAAATGTAATCATTGGTGCATCGATGGATATTTGATAAAGCAAATATAGTAAAATGTCAATAGTAGAATCTAGATGGTAGATAGAATCTGTATGAACATTTTTGTAATAAATGTTGGAGAAAACCTAAACTCTAATGAAAAAGCTAATGTGAAATAAATAGATATTGTGTGAATAGTAAAATAAGAGTACACTTGACTTCCTTTTGTTCTCTGCTGACTTTGAAAAATCTGAAACAATCTGTTAGTGGAATCCCAGTTTTAGTGGTAATATTATTAGATGTAAATAAATTATCTGTTTCCTTTTGGTGGAAATTATTTTGTCCTTAAAAACAGTGTTCTTGTGAACATTAAGTGAAGATGATATGAAAAAATCATAAGGATTTATAAAATGCATTTGAGGTAAATGTAAATTATCATAGACAACTGTTTAGCAACTATTTAGAACTTTTATTCATCTATTTTAGGGAATCTGGAAACATCAAAGCTGGATTAGAACATCTGGTAAGTTCTAATTTTCTCTTGAACATTTGCATCGTCTTTGATATCTGCATTCTAAATGAACACTTTTGAATGAGCTTTGAATACCTTGTATTGAGAAAGTCAACCATTTCCCAAAGGGTCAGCTTACTGTTGTTATGTGAAGGCACTTACATTTTCATTTATCTTATCATTTCAAGGGAATTTAAAATTTTTTTAAAATTACTTTTTTTTTTTTGATGTAGAGATGAAATAAAATGGATGACAATCCTTGGATTGATGATTGCTTTAATTATAAACAAAAATGTTTGGTGTAGAATTTTTGGCATATCTTGATTTGACAAAAACAAGCTTGTGTTTTAAGAAAAACACAATCAAATATTGCATGCATAAATATGGTATGTTTTAGCAATTTAACGGCTTTGAAAGAAGGGCACAGCTTTGTTTTTCCTGATGTCTTTGCTTTATGAATAATGCATTGGTTTAAACTACATTCAGTTTTAGAATATAAAATAATTGAGATGCAAAATTTTTGGTTTAAGTAAACATTTTTCAAGTACAAATGAAATTCAAACTGACTTAACATTAAAATCTGTCCATTGATCAAGAAATTAGAAAAAGTGTTTGTTATACCAGGTCCAAAATTCATTTAGCTTCCTGCCTTGAGTGTTCATTACAACATTAAGTAGTTCATTTAAACAGAGCATTATAAAGTCATGGTCTGGTTTCTGGTCAGATCCAAATGTTGAATAATTAATGATAGAGATTCTTTTGTAAATACAATCTAAGTACTTTTGTAATGCAAGACTTCATTCGTATATCATATTGTAGCTTTGTTAACTATTAATGTGCTTTTGTTTGCTCCCACAAAAGCAAACAGTAGCAAGAGGCAGCTTCACTTTGACTTACAGTAGTTTTAGAGTTAGAAGGGATTTTTGGTTTTCCTTACAATAACTAAAGGAAACTGAGGAAACCCAGACTTTTAAAAAATGATCCTAAAAAATACAAATTAATTATTAAAAGCAATATATAACAACCTAGTTAGAATATTTGAACTATATATTCATCTAGATTAGAAGTAAATGAATAACATTGTTATTCTCATTATTAGAAATTATTTCCTGAATCCCTGTTTGTCACTTCTTAGTGGCATAATATATTTAGGACATATGGACATTAGAATAAAAATGTTAATCTAAAACATCAAATTCCAGTATCAGTTGAGGACTTATAATAAGGAAGAACAGCTACAATTGTGCCAAAATGAGCTGTCTTTTATACTTACCTTATAAATTATTATTTATTAAAAAGACTTCATTTTCACTTGTTTCATATTCCTCAGTAAACAATAATGAATCAAATTTTTTTAGTTTAAAATTTACATTTTTAATATTTACTAGTATGAACTCATTTACAGTGACTTTGTAATACGTTTATACTCTATTTATAATCTTATTCAGCACTGGTTTTCTAACTGCCTTGGGCTGCCAGGAAGGCTCCCCAAAGCAGGTGGCACTCCAGACTGTCACTACCCACTTTAATCGGAGTAGTTCCACTTTTAGTTATTTTATAAATTTTTAAAATAAGAGTTGAGTTGAAGAAGATTTTCCAACTAAAAATATTTGAAACCTTTGATCAAGCATAGCTACTTATTAAAGTCAAGAATAATTGTTAATTATTCTTTTCTATTCTTGACCCTAAGTTATATTTCATTTTTATCTGGGTCATATACATCATCAAATATATTTCAAAGATAATGCATTTTAGGGATGAGAGAGCTAGGATCAGTACAACAGGTAGTGGGAAGTGGATGATTTTAATGCATTTTATCTAGGTTGTTCAAAAGACTCTATAGGTTGACATTGTAAAATTGACACACTGTGAACTATTTGCAATAACATGAATATATGAATATATAACATAATATCCTATATATACACTTATATACAGATCATACTGCCTTGTGCACTACTGTCCAGTAAAGTCAGTGATAGTCTTCACAACTGCCTGGAGGGAAGTGAACTCAAGAATTTATTGTTTGAGCATTAATGAAACCTGTCTGTCTAACAGCTGTGGGCTCCTTAGGATTGTGTCTCTCCAGTTTCCAGCTGGGCAGATGCTTAGAACCCTTGCCTTCTAGCACATCTAGCCTTTCTTTGAATTGGCTGTGTAGCTAAATACAATTAGAATTATAGTTTCTAAAAGATTGATCTTTAAAAATATATGGTGTAAAATTAAGAACATCCCACACATGTGGAATTAATTTCTTTTTATTATCCTTCAGTCTTTGTTTTTTTCAAATTTACTTGAATTATCATAGAGAATTAACATTGTTCTAAGAGAGGGTAAAAGCAAGTATAAATTTAAATAAGCTAAGAAGGGAGCTTCTGGCTGGCTCAGTTGCTGGAGCATGTGACTCTTGATCTTGGGGTTGTAGGTTCAAACCCCACTTTGGGTATAGAGATTGATTAAAAGTAAAATCTTCTAAAAATAAAAAAATAAAAATAAATAAGCTAAGAAAAATGACATATGCAGCATGTCACACTTGCCACAAGGACACCTACATAGCATAGTTGTATATACTGCCTTTGTATTCAGTTTATGGGCTCTTCTTGGTATATAGTTATCTGTAGCCCTTAGAAAGGAAAAAGCAGGTGTGGATAGCAAAAAGGGTGGGATAAGCGGACTGTATTCCTGTGGAACCTCTCCAAGGGCTGATCTCATTTATTTGTCACAATGTCTCAAACTCTTGATTCGGCCTTTGTTCTATCATTTCTTTTTTTCTATGTCCAACTTGTCATTCTTAGCTTAAATTTTTACTATACTGCCCAATGCTATTTTATTTTTCTTTTCACAAACTTGTCTCTTACCCATAAAGCCTTTGTCTGTTGAAAGTTCTAAACAGGGTCTTTGAAGGTTGATGCTCCATCATCCATTGGTGATTCTTGCCTGATTGTAAATGGAGATTTTCCAACTCTACCACTCCCTCCCAGATTTAGTAGCCAGCATTCTATTTTAAAGAAGAGCCCACCCTTATTTCTTGTTTTATCTATTTATTGTAAGCAAGGACTCATGGATCCTTTACTTTTCTTACTTATTTTGAAACTCAAATTGTCCAACATTTGTCCAGGGAGTATCCTTTCAAGATGGCTTTTGGCTTGTTTCTATATACCCCATCTTTTCTTAAAGCACCTCCTTATTTTCTGGCACAACAAGATGTTCCAGGCTCATTTGAAACCTTCCCTGTCCTACTCATGGAATCAGCTATTTCTTCAAATCATTTCATTTAATTTTAGAGGAAAATGGTATTTATGAATCAAGGTCTGGACATGTGATATGTCCACTGTCTCTGGGATTTCATTACTTCTAGGACTTTTCAGTCCTAGATTAGATAAATAGGTGGGTGGGTAGGTAGGTAGATACTTAAGACTTAGATACTTAGTTAGTTAGGTATTTTTAAGAAATTATGAGTCGTACTAAGACCTCCAGCTTTCAATCCAAACCACAGAATTCTTCCTTGTTCCCCATTTCACATTTGTATTTTCCTTCATTCAAAGTGAGGACTGTGACTCCTAACAACACCAATACATTTACCCATTTGCTTAATTATATATATAATACATGTAAAATAGTTTCACAATTGCTACAACCATACCTTATGAAAAGTAAAAGTTAATAAAAAGTTCAAGATTTATTTCAGGGATTTATTAAAGTTTATTTCAAATTTATTCAGGAGTTCTTTTCCCCCTTGATTATAGTTAGCTAATTCATTTGAAATATGGTTGCATGCATTTGTTTCTTTTTGTATTCAGTTTTAGGTGCCCTTGTCCCCGTTCTGGTTGATTTAATTATATGTTTGGATATCTATATGTTAACATGCTTCCAAAAGTCAAAATATTATACAAAGCCAAAATATTATACACAGTACATCTCTCAGAAAGGCGTCATTCACTTCCTTTCTAGCTTGTTCTACTCTATTGTTTGTAGGTAGCCAATTTTCTTAAGTTCTGGATTTATGCTTCCTGTGCATCTTCTTGTATAATTAAGTATATATATATATAAATATATGTATACATGTGTGTTATTCCTATTTCCTCTGTCTTATAAAATATAGCATATTATAAATACTTTTTTGTACTTTGCTTTTTCCTCTCCTGGAAATGACTCCCTAATTACTGTATCGCTATATTTACTGTGTTTCTTTCTCTCTTTGTCTGTGTCTTCTTTATTAAGGGTCTGAGATTTTAGCCTATTTGTATGCCTGCCCGTACTTTAATAGATGCTGGCAGGAGACATGAGATTTCTGGGTCAGAAACAAAGCTCTTTATTACTAACAGCGCCAAAGGTGGCACTACATAGTTACATAGATTCCCTGTGACCTGCAGGTTCCATGCAGTGATGCTGCATACCCAGTGGGTTTGTGTCATAGCTGAGGGACTCTGTTCTTTAAGGAACTGACAGAAAATTAGCCCAAACTTTCCCTAAGAGAAAGATATTATCTTTAGTATCCTAATTTGGTAACAAAACTGTCTTCTGGTCCAGGGGGCAATTCTTTATCTTCCAAGACTGTTTGTTATATTTGAAAAGATAGTTCTTTTTTTTTTTTTTTAAGATTTTATTTATTTACTTGACAGAGAGATAGAGCCAGAGGGCACAAGTGGAGGGAATGGCAGAGGGAGAGGGAGAAGCAGGCTCCCAGCTGAGCAGGGAGCCCGACGCAGGGCTCAATCCCAGGACCCCGGGATCATAACCTGAGCCGAAGGCAGATGCTGAACCATCTGAGCCACCCAGGCACCCCTTGAAAAGATAGTTCTTAAGAAAGGCTATTGGCTGATACTAGATGTGCAGAACCTATGGAGAATTGTCTCTGAAGAGCTATTATTATTATTATGAAATTTAGGGAGGCTTGCATTTTTGTTCTAGTGGTTACCTTTATATTTATATCTTTTATACTGCATAATGCTTTCTTCCCCCTCATTCCTACTTAATCTTTTAAATGGCATCCCTTGGTTCCCAGCTGTTAA